CAAACGACGAAGATCAACCGTTGTCTTCGGGTGAAATCAGCCAACGAATCCTTTAATCGTGCACTTTCATACGAAACGGATGTCTGTTGATCGAGAGTGGTGATTGTGAGCATGAAAGGTGAAGAGAAACCATTTAAAACCCTCTTCTTTCCCCATTGACCGTGCCATGCTCGCAAGGTCTAGGCCTTGACGATGCCTCAGGCTAGAACTCACACGCTTTTTGCGCGTAGACCCCGGTTTCCCTGTTTCCACGCGCGCGATGGGGCGGGTATGAAAGGTGACCGGTAACTGTTGCGTGGAATAGACACTTGAGCAACGATCAGGCAAGTTGATCGAAATGACCAGCTCAAATCGGCGTACGGGACAACCGAGTCCTGATGATAAACACTGAGGGTGCACCATCGCTTGAATCGATGGCAGCGGAGGCGAGTTTGGATGACCGCCTGTCTGTCTGTTGGCCTGACTACACATTGATAGATTTCGTCCAGGCTAATCGTGTATTAGCTCAACGACATGCGAAGGTTAACGAAATAATCGACTGCTCACATGACGCCTCGCCATGATGGACGAAAAGCACCATTGCTCCGAGCGAAAGTGATGGATGAAAGAGACATGGAGACCAAGATTGCGTGTCCCATATTTTGCTGAATACAAGCGGTCTGGCCTCATTTTAACAACTTGGTCGTGTTTCTCGGAGGACCGTGATGAACACATCTTGCCCGGAGTCCCCTAGAAAATATAGTCATGATAACTTCCAGGCATGAGGAGAGGCTCGGTTTCGAAGTGTCTGTATAGTATCAATGTGGGGGAGACTTGTCGATCCATTAGAGGTTGTCAGGACACAAAACCACTTGCAATGGTTCATGAGTGGCTTAACATTCGGTCACTAGGGTACACCAGATAGTGGACTTAAACCGAACGCTTTGTCGATTGAAATTAGGAAAAATAAAGAACATTTGGAACGAGAGAAATGTGTAAAGATTAAGCAAGAACTATCTCTGACTGCTGGATAAAAATGGAATAAAAAGGGGTCAGAAAGTGTCACCGAATAAGAGGAGGCTTGATGAACACGGACTCAAGTCCCAGCTAAATATGCAAACTTACTTGTGAGTAGTGCATACACACAACACAAAGGTATCCACAAACACAAGACAAGCCCAGTTACTGAAGAACGATACGCCGCTGGCTTACATAAAGAAAAGCGGCGACCACATCTTCTCGTGCATCAACTTGACTCGCCTACATGTACGTAGAAAAGGCATGAAGAAGCTAACTGAATTATGGGATGCCTCATTAAGATCGAAAAGTTGGGTATAACAAGGTCGAATTTCAGCAAACCGCCTTTCCTGGTTTAGTGTTTTATGGTGATTGTTCGTAAATGATGGTTTCTGGCTCTGACGATGTTCGTCACATGACGGATGAAAACCAGGCACGAATTCGAAACAATGAGCTGGGGTCTTCTTCGTATAATCCAACAATCCAAGGTATTCGGTGAGGCCAATTTAGGGATCCTTGCCTTTTCCAACGGGATGAAACGTATGACAGCACAAATAACTTACAGCGTCAGACTGTGGAATTGATACATTTCCAAAC